TAAATGATCTAGAAAATCCTCTACCGACGATCGGGGTTGCATGTTGATGTGGAGGTCTGGAGAGCTGCAATGGTTTGACTCAGGTTTGCTTGGGGACAAGCAAACGGTTAAGTGTGGGAGAATTTGATGACTTGACATATACACGTGTTTTTTTCCACCATTCCTCTAACGTTTGAGTCTCATCTCTCGTGTTTTAGGCCGATTTCACGCTAGGTTGTTCGTGTTTGTGATATTTCAGTCCTAGTACGTGAAGGAAGGTTCAGGCACGAATTCGCGGTCGATTGGACGAAGTTGGAACGATTGAAAAGAAGCTGGAAAACCACACGGTCGTGTGACGTGGCCGTGTGGAATCCCTTTGTGCGGGCAAACCACACTGGCCGTGTAAAGGACCCCTTGTGGCCGTGTGGAAATCCCAGAGACCTTCACACGGGCAGGCCGAGATTTCACACGGCCGTGCAGTTATGGTCGTGTAACGTGCATGAAGGCACATAAGTGAAATGTGGCGTTTTACACCTCCACACGGGCAGCTGGGAATTCTACACGGCCGTGTGACCTGGCCGCGTAGTCGCGGAATTCTGGGGTTTAACCCAATTTCGGGTCTTTGGAGAGGGGAATCAATTTAGAGAGCTAGAAACAGAGTCCTATAGAGAGAAAGTGCGAAGAAAACACCCTAGAGGTGATTTTGGAGCTGGGTTTCATCAATCAAGCTTGGATTTCATCCTTGGAGTGAAGATTATCATCCCAGAGCAGATTCTTCCCATCTTGATGAGTACGACTGCTTTGTTTTCTTTTTCCCTCTCTCTCTATGGAGTAGAACCGTCTCTCACTTGGGTATGAAGAACTCTAGTTCCATGTGTTAGGGATATCGATTGTAATGACGTTTGGATTGTGATACTGCTTGATTATAATCGATTGAAGTGTTTTGATTGAGTCAATTGAAGGCTGATCATCTTTTCTTGATTTCTGCTGCAACCTGAGATAGATAGAATCTGATTAGGTTGTTAGAGCTTCTTCAATCGATAGTAGTGAATCGATTATACGAGAGTTAGTCGATTCACTGTTTTGTACTGGAATCAAATTCCAGTAGTGGATTTTTGTGTTTATTGCCTTAGCAGTCTATCCCGATGAAGGCTAGTCGCCTACCGATTAGTCTGTCTGAGAGGGCTTGGTCAGCTTAAGAGATTCCAAGCTACTGTCGGATCTTCCGCAGTTTAATCAACAGTATATCAACCAAAGATAATTACAACTCTGACCTAACTAAGGAGCTAGGGGGACTCATTCCCGAGTGACTCTTCCCCTGCTTAAGAACTTCGAACCATTTCCTTCTTTCTTAGTGCTTTAGCTAAAATCACATTCTCTCAACTTAGTTGCTAGATAATAAATCATCACGGAGTAGGCAGTATATCTAGACCCCGGGTTGATAAATAGAACTTGCCATTATTCTGCATTTCCGGACTGCGATTACACTTGGTTGCAGTTTGGTGTTGTGTTTTAGCGTGTCACCACAAAATTCTCATATGAACTCGGCAAAGACACAAGCAGGATTAAGGAAGCATCTTCATCGTCAAGCTTAACATCTATATTGCGTAAGTCTAGCAAAATAGAATTAAGTTGTTCCAGATGATCCCTCAAAGACGTACCTTCTTACATCCTCAAGCTGAACAACCATTGCTTAAGATGCAGCTTGTTGGTTAAGAACTTCGTCATGTACATACTCTCCAACTTTAACCACAAGCCCGCGGCAGTTTTCTCATCAACGACTTTAATGATGACGTCATCAGACAACGATAGCATGATTGTCGAGTGGGCCTTCTCCTCCAGGGTATTCCACACATCGTCGTCAACCGCTGTCTTCTTCTGTTTCGCAGACAGCAGCCCCCACAGCTCTTGTTGTTTCAATAAAGCCTGCATCTTGATCTGCCATGTAGCGAAGCTTTTCTTCCCCATGAACTTCTCGATCTTCATGTTCACCGACGTCATTCTTTAGAATCGAAACCCAGCTTGATTTCCAGCCGCGGCTCTGATACCACTTGTTATAAACGCGCTGCTATGGATCGGGAAATCGCTGGAATCGACAAAGCAAGAATACGAAAGCGAGAATCGAAACATGACACACGATTTATGTGGTTCACTAACACGAAGTGTGTTAGCTAGTCCACGGGCGAGAGAGAGCCAGTTTCACTATATCGAGGAGATTACAGATTACAGAGGAGATGAGAAGTATTTATACTTCTACATATGGATCTAAACCTAATCTAATCTGGCAAAGGAAACGGTTATAGACCAAGTCACATCAACATACGTAATAAGGGATTATTACAACAAGCATGCGTAATAAGGGAAATTACAATAAGCTACCTAGACTAAGTAAAATACATCATTTCAACAAGCAGTCGATCCAAGATTGGGATTGGGTTAGTGCAGTTCTATCATAGACTCCGCTTGATGCTTGCGGCTGTTGCATGCGTTCCTATACTCATAATCGGCGAGTAGGTGTACCTTTTACTAGGTAGCCGGCGACCGGATGAGAAGCAGAGAAGCAACGAAGGGTTAGGGAGAGAGGCGTCGAGATGAGGAGGGGAAGTTGATAGCAAGGATATTGATACTGTCATGATCCTTGCTTACTTAATTGGACTAAGTTTCATAAGTGAGTTATAAAAAGCAAAACAGCAACAACAAAAAAAGTCCTTAATGTAAGGGAATAAGTCTGGCATTACATTGTAGAAGTTGAACCAAAATACATGTATTATTAATGCATGGGGAGATAGATTACCAGAATGATGTAACCAATCAAATAAGGCATATACATGCTGCCAAGCTATCAAGCTCACCAACCCAACCATTCTTTAACCATAAAGCCTTGTTTAGCACCAACCAATGCCAAACCATAAAATGGGTGGCCTAATATAACTACTCTCCTCTGCTAATAGTACACCAATGCTAAGCTCTTATAAGATGGGTGAAAACTCAACTTCGGCCATTGTTGTCATTCATACTTGAGAAAAGGTGGACCTATCCTGGCTAGTTGAGTTGGCGGCAAGTAATAAGGTACACAATTATGTATGTAATCCAGCAACTACTTGCTCATCACATTCCTATATTTCTCATAGAAGTTGGTTTCATATTTACGATGCTTGTGATGCAGATTATGTTACTTTGGATGATAGTCATGCATGTGTAACTGTGGGAACACAACTTGGAGGATAAAGATGCTTGAACTATAACATTTGAAGCAAAATAAAAAATTAAAAAAAAATCATGCAACAAAAGGGGGTCATCGGGGAGAGGGAAGTCCATTTTAAAACTCGAATTTAGAATCTCCAAGTTGAAAACCGGTCATGGAACCGCTAGGTCAAGCCCTCTTTTGCACATTTAAGGTATATTTTTTTGAATAAAATAATATTAATATTCACAGCTTTTTTTTAAGAGAAAGAGGGAAAACACCTCAGTAACCAAATGGCTCAAATCAATAACAATTTGTTTGAAATAGCAGTAGTAAAGGTACATATCCAACTATTACGATTGTTGTTTGTTGATAGCTATTGGAAGGTGGGCAAGCTTATGCGCGCACCCAATCTCCATATTCATCCTCTGTTGCAGCTTCCTCTATCAGTTTACCGACTACCCACATCTGAGTGCGATCAATTTTTAAGCATATCAAGTAGCTAGGGTTCCATTTACAATTCATGTCATCTTCATTATTGCAGAAGAAAGCACAACTCTGCCTTATGCCACGTCTGGCGCCCACCTCTCTGCTACATACTAATTGAAGTTATCATTCCAATCTCGCATGAACGTCCCTAGCTAGTCTTGTGTCTTCCTCACCAAGGTAGCCCAAATCCGTATTTACTCGTGGCGGGTTCCATAGTAGGATTTGTGTACCTTGACTAACCAAACTCATTCTTTGGATCTCTTGGCCACTTGTTCCTCTTCGAGTTTTGGTCAACTAAACTGGTAATTATGTTCCTTTGATGGAGTATAACTATTATTAATGTTAATTATAGTATTTATTATTATATATTGTGGGGGATTTTCGGCTACTGTAGCCATTTGGGGAGGGATAATTATGCTAGGTTTGGAGTTAAATTATGATTGTAGTTGTAGTCCGCAGCCAAGTCTTTGTTATAAATGTGTACTTTGTTATTCTTTTCGATTCATTGAAGAAAGAAAAAAAAAGTAGTTTTAGAATTTTAATGTGTTTTTAGGAGTCATACGATTGATGCATTAGAAACTATAATACATTAATTGGTATCAGAGTTTGGTTCCGACGAATTGAGTTCAAAGAGGTTCGTGTACAGGAATGGAGGCTTGGCATGTCTCTTGGCCGACGTAAGAACCATATTGAGTATAAAAATATTGAGTATTTTATTGTTGTTTGAATCAAATTTCACAAAACCTTTTATAGAATGATAGGGATTGTCTAGTAAAATGCGAGCATCATAAAATTCACAATACATGTAAAATACTTTCTTTCGTCATCTTGAATGATGATCTACTGAAAATAATTAATTAGAATAGAGTGCGAATACTTTTGTCCTCTATCCTTCCACTTTCCCTCCAACTCCTAACTACCGCGGGATGAAATTCATGAGATACCTTTCTCGCATAGAGACTTTTCAACTTGCTGAAGTGAAAACAATGAATCATAACCTTTTTTAGTTTATTCCTAATAATGGAAGAATCACATGAAAGCCTTACATCCTTTAATGACTCGCTTAATTTTCTCCATTTACTAAAATAGACAAATCCCCCGCCCTTTCCCTTCCCTTTCCTCGCCTTGCCTAAAATTTTGATGTGTTAAAAAATGGGAAAATGCATCTATGTCAAGAAACGCCACTTTTATCGGAATTCTATATTTTCCCTCTTTTCTCCTCATTTTTCGCTCTTCTCAATCCCCAAATCTAATAACTAACTCTTTGCTATATATAGTTTGCTTTTTGTTCTAATATTTCCCCCAAACCCCCTTCTTTTTTCGCAATAATCTTCTTCTTCATCTTTCGATCGCAGCGTAGGCCTTAGTCTCATGTTTCTGCGGATTCCATCCCTTCCTTTCTCTTAATTCGCAGAATCAGAGACATTATTGTAATATAATATATTAAAAAGGTTTGGGGTTTGGTCCATTCTCAATAACCCCTAACATTTTTCTTTGTTATGATATTTGGGTTCTGATATCTTTCTTCACTTGGGGTGCAGTTCTTGGTTCCTGTCTCTGCAAGTTTCTTCGTCGACATTCAGAGAAAAAAAAAATACTGAAATAAGAGAAGAAACCAAAACAATTTTCTATTTACAGAGGTGGTGGTGGGAATTGTTGTTCAACTTCTCCCTTTTTTGCATTCTTTCTTGTCCTTATTTTTTGATCTAGTGTCAGCGTGGCCAACTTTGGCCGTACTTTTTTCCATGGGCTCCAATTGATGGGTGTTTCATTAAATTTTTCAGGCCATTTTGCACCTTGTTTCGGAAGGTTGGGGTGGTACTCTGCATCTTCGGACATTAAAAGATGTTGGGAGATTTCGTGAACAGATGCCTTCTGTATGTAGCCGTTTCAATTTTCTCAATTGAATCAGTTTGTGGATGTGTAATTCTCGATCCAATTGGTAACAAAAGGGGGGATTCTTTGATTTACGCAGGTTGTTTTTCGGGTATGCATACCCGGCATTTGAATGCTTCAAGTCGTCAGAGAAGAATAAAATCAACATTGAAGAAGTCAAATTCTGGTGCCAATATTGGTAAAGGATGAATCTTGACGTCTACATTTATGCTAAGTTAGATTTATGTATGTATATTGGTTTGTTCGTCTAACATAATAGTTATTGGGCTACATGGGTTCCTTCCTTCATGAAAATTACGTCGTTTGTTTGTTACTTTGGGGCTTTATCCATCGAACCATCATTTGTAGTACTAAATTAAGAGATAAAAACTTCACCAATGATGTCACTTTCTGATATGATAGGCCTTATTTCATAAACGTTTTTGTGTATTTTGAAATTCTTGGTCTCTTACTTTCTTTTTACTGGTAGTCTCCATCAATATATGCTCGAATTGTTTATAGCCAACCATGGAGAATTGAGGAATGATTTTTTTGTAATACAGGATTATTGTGGCACTAATCACTGTTTGTGAAAGGCTTGGTGACTTTTTCTTGTGTTGGTAAGCATACCATAGAGATAGCCTCTGTTAAAGAATTGCACCAATGGGTTTTTGGTTGAGCTAGGCTTAACTGAGATTTTACTTGGTTCATGGTGTAAAGGTTGCCGTTTTATGGCGAGGCGAAGTTGGGATTTTTCATATGGCTATGGTACCCGAAAACCAAGGTAAGAAAAGAGAGAACATATTTATCATAAGCCTAGGAATTGCCTCAAATTGAGTACTAAAAAAAGGTTCGGTTATTGGAATTGCAGGGGACTTACTTTGTGTACAATAACTTCTTGAAGCCATATGTGTCAAAGCATGAGACAGAGATAGACAGGAAGTTGCAAGAAGTCAAAGCCAGAGTTTGGGATTTTGCCATTTACTACTGGCAAAACTGCACCAAGTTGGGGCAATCCACTTTCTTCCAGGTTCTAGAGCAGTTAGCTACACAATCTGGACGGTTTGGGAATGCCACCACCTCCAAGCAGTCTCAGGTAAAAATATCAATTATATATATATATATATTTTTTTTTTATCAAGCCTACATATGATTCACCATTAGGCAATCTCCCTAAAGACTTAGAGTAGCCATATATCCAGTAATAGCCGGTGAATGAGCTTTGTGATAGAGAGCTTCTTAGATCCCTGTAATGCAAAAATTGTTGCTTTCTTCACTCTGCTCTCTCCTTTGTTGTGTTTTTTTTCACAGAGAGGTCCCCTGGAAAAATTCAGCCTAATGAGTTTCCTCCATAATTGTTAGTACATTTTACTTCCTCCGAGGCTATTCCTATATCTACCTCTTTAATTCTTCGCCATCCTCTGCAATTTCCAAGTTCGCTCAACAACTCATATTCTGGATGCACAAATTCCATACAGAAGACTACTATTTTTACATATTCATCCATCTTAACCATTCAAAAATATAGCAAATCAGAACCACTCAATCTATATAAACTACAAATTCATAGTTTTCAAACCAATAATTCCTCCAAAAACGACAAAAAAACGAACGCCTTGTGCATGTGCGATTATATAGAGAATGAAGAGGAATTGGTATATGATTATTAGAATGTGCTAAAAGGGTGGTATTTAAATTCTGGCGTTGAAACCATTTTTCAGAAGAAAACAGGCAGCACGGTACCAGTTGCACCTCCGCCGCCAGAGTCTCCAACGGCGAGAAGGAGCGGAAGTGGGCGGTGGACGCCAAGAGCCGCTAGCAGACTGAGTCGAGAGGCAGGAGTGGATTCCCCAAGATTCCAGAGGCAACTCACCGGTGAAAAGATGGATGGTGACGAGCTCCAGCAGGCCAAGATGAGGCTCCGGCGATCAAATCCCATTGCCTAATTTGAAGAAGACTATAAATTCTATTAAAAAGTGTACAAAAGCATATATAAAAAACCCATTAAAAATCACAAGAAGATAACCAGGAAAAAATCTCTCACAACTAGAACCCCAAAAAACAAAAAAATTGAGATATTTTTCAGTCAATTTATTCCACACATCCATTCAATTTGTTATTTTTTTCGTTTTTTTTTTATGAATTGAGTTTCAGGTTTCCAACCCAATTAGTGTTTTGTTCTTCTTGTATGTGATGATACCATTTATTCAGTCGGTGTGATCCACCTTCTTTGTAAGAGAACAACAAATATGATAAAAAGTAAAGATTCAATTTTCCCCCAAAAAAGTTAAGTTTCGTTTCTCTCTACCACTAAATTTATAACGAATTTGTTAAATTCCAAGCCCAATTGAAGGAAATATCCTATCGAAAGCTTGGTGATGCATGAATTAGACAAAGTTCTGGGAATCAAAAACAGGTTTTAATGGGATTGTTTGGGGAAAAAATCCAAAAGTACCACTGTTTTAAAAAAAATTTCAAAAATACCACTCAACCCCAAAAAATTCCAAAAATACCACCCTTTTTCAAAAACCGCCACCCCAACCAACGGTTTGGTCGAAAACCGCTTGTCGGGGGCGCGGTTTTCTATGCAAACCGCGGGCCTAGGGGCGGTTATAAAAAAAAAAATTGGACCAAACCGCTGGGTGGGGTGGCGGTTTCCAATTTTTTTTTTTCGATCAACTCCTAACTTCGGCCAAAACTTCAAACGAACATAACTTTGCACTCGGGTATCCGATTGTAGCGATATTTTTTTTTATTTCGCATAACTTTTCAAGATCTACAACTTTTACTAGGATAAAATTTTTAAAAAAGGAAATATTTGTGGATATACGGGACCTTGAGAATAACTTTACCTTTACATTTCAGAAATCCATGTACATTTTGAAATTATGATTATATTAAAAGTTGTAGATCTTGAAAAGTTATACGGAATCAAAAAAAAATCATGACATTCAGATTTTGGAGCACAAAGTTATGGCCACCCAAAGTTTGACGAAATCAAAAAAAGGCTCGTTCGGGGTGGCAAATGACGTTTTTTCGAGACGAAGGCGGGACCCGGATGTTTGAGACTTGCAAGATCTCAAAAAGTTATTCGGATTCAAAAAATGGAGGCCGCAAACTTTTTGAGATCTTGCAAGCCGCAAACCTCCGGGTCTCGCCTTTCGTCAAACTTTGGGCGACCATAACTTTGTGCTCAAAACTCCGAATGTTATGAATTTTTTTTTATTCCGCATAACTTTTCAAGGTCTACAACTTTTAATATAATCATAATTTCAAAATTTACATGGATTTCTGAAAAGTAAAGGTAAAGTTATTCTCAAGGTCCCGTATATCCACAAATATTTCCTTTCTTGAAAATTTCATCCTTGTAAAAGTTGTAGATCTTGAAAAGTTATTCGAAATGGAAAAATAAATCGCTACGATCGGATACCCGAGTGCAAAGTTACGTTTGTTTGAAGTTTCGGCCGAAGTTAGGAGTTGATCGAAAAAAAAAAATTGGACCAAACCGCTGGTTGGGGTGGCGGTTTTGGGCCAAACCGCCACCCCACCCAGCGGTTTGGTCCAAATTTTTTTTTTATAACCGCCCCCTAGGCCCCCGGTTTGCATAGAAAACCGCGCCCCCGACAAGCGGTTTTCGACCAAACCGTTGGTTGGGGTGGCGGTTTTTGAAAAAGGGTGGTATTTTTGGAATTTTTTGGGGTTGGGTGGAATTTTTTGAATTTTTTTTTAAAACAGTGGTACTTTTGGATTTTTTCCATTGTTTGAGGCATAAGACTTTAACCATAGGGGTGGAGGAAGTGTGTCATAAACCAGTTGGTTCCAATAACTCGAGTTGTTGGAAGAAGGTTATGTTAGATCTTATATAGGCCCATGTATGGTACTTAACCACTTCCTTACACGCCCCCTCAAACGAAAGTCGACTCATGTGCTTGAAGTTTGCATAGGCCCGCAATACAATGTGCTTGAAAGACAACGGTTAATATTGGAGGTCGTGAGGACTTGAACACGTGATTTCAAAGACAATCCAGCTCTGATACCATGTCATAAACTAGTTGGTCCCAATAACTCGAATTGTTGGGAGAAAGTTATGTTGGATCTTATACAGGCCCATGCATGGTACTTAACCACTTCCTTACAAGGATCGAGGAAGATAGAGGAGGAAGGATTTGGTTGGAGGTAAGCCCCAGCTGCCTGCTTCACGAGATGATTTCGGATGTAGATTTCAAAGGAAGGGAAATGGGACATGGATGTGCCCCTATTGGCGGTAGCAATAAGGAATTCAAGAACAGAGGAACAATAGAGGAAGGGATGAGATATTTGAGGGAGGCGCATGAAGACAACTCTGGCAGTAGTTCGAGGAAGAACAACTCATAGTTAGGGAGGGAGGCTGGAAGTGTGAAGAGTGAGCCTTGAGGGGATGGGAACGATGTTGGTGGCGATCGAGTTTTTGCGGTAGAGAGGCTCCGACACCTTTGTCTCCGACTCATCCATCAAGTTTTACACTATGTTTTCGAAAGAAAGAAGGGAGGAAAAGGAGGGGAGATGAAGGAAAATTAGGAGGGCAGGAGAGATTTGGACGTGTAGGAAATTGGAAGGAAAATGTTGTTTTATGGAGGAAAGTAGGAAGGAAAGTGTGTTTTGGGAAGTGTGATGAATATGTTATTATTAGTTATGTAATAGTAAATAGAGACTTTGTTTATTTAAAAACCGTGATTTAATCACATCAATCATTTAAAAATAGAGACTTTATAATAATTGATCAAGGATTCTAAATCAATTAAAAATCATTCAACTTACTAAAATTTGTTTGCTATTTTGTTGATTTATCAACATAGCAACTAAGAACATGAACAAATATGACATCCACTTTGAAATCGACAAATTAAACTCGAAATTTAGCTAGATCGTTAATATTGACAGGCATTAGTCTCTTTTGTCTATGACGCAACATATAATTCTAAAGTGGCTGCGACGTGCGTCATACAACAATAAATAGAATTTAGCACTATATTAGACCACAAATCAAAAAGCTTACCACTATGGTATATTTCTACCATCATTCTACCATCATGATATATTTTTGCTATCATGGTATAATATATGATTATCAAATTATATATGGTATAGTTTTACAAAATTACCGACACTATGCTACGATTTAGTAATTCTTCATTGAAATAATTATTTTTGTTTGGCTACTTCTTTGTTACTAATTAATTTTGTTAGGAAGCAGAATGAAAGCTAAAAGTCACCATTACTAATTTGATTACTTGCTAGTAATTATAAAGACTCACTTAAATCTTATTTTGGAGATTAAGTACGGAATTATTAAAAAAAAGGAGATTAAGTACAAAACAAATAAAGATTGTTAGAGAGTGGGTGAAGTTAATAATCTTGTATAATAATGAAGTTAGAAATTGAATTAATAATTAATGTTATTTTGTGTTGGAAACTTAACTATTAGGAAAATATTTAAAAGTGAAAAAAAAGAAGAACATGTATGTGTGTCCTTCATTCCCTCTTCTTTCTCTCCAATTTGGAGGAGTGGGTTAAATAGTACCAAGAGGGGATAATTTTCCTTCCTTACTCACTTTCCCTCCATAAATGAACAAGGGAAAATGCATTGGGAATCTCATTTTCCCTCCTCAAATTTCCTTTCCCTCATTTTCTCTCCTTAAGAAACAGTGTATGGAGTGGAAAGAGAGAGGGTGAGTAAAAGGAGAGAAATGATTTTGTTGAAAGGTATTTGTATATATGAGAAGAGTTGAAGAAAGAGACTATTATTTTCTATTTTTTATTATTTTGATTTTTTATTATTATTTAATTTGAGTTTGTTGAGTGGCATGAGCATAACAACGACAACGATAATTAACGAATGTTGTTGCCAGTGGCGGTGGTGATTATGACAAGGCAAAGGTAGGAGCAGGTGCGATTGTTAGAAAAACATTGACCATCCAATCCCTTTTTATTTTGTAGTAGAAATTTTTCTGTCATTTTGTTGGAGAAATTTTAGCTGCTCTTCCATATATAGAGTGACTTTTTGCCAATAATGTTTTGTTTTGTATATCTCAAGTCTCAAACCCTATTCTTATGTAATAAAATTTTCAAACATTATCGGTAGAGCATTTGGTCGATTGAAAAATAAATACTATCATCATCGTCACGTTATTTCCAACTCCAAAACTCACATTACTTTATCGGTGCGAGTTAAACTTTCAGGTACTCATCTCCTCATTTGTTCGATTATGAACACCCATGGTTTGTTGACTACGGTCAATGGCTAAACTACTTGTTTGATTAATGATCACTCTATTTATCAATTCTTTCATGGTTGCCACTAATTTTTCCCGATAATTTTAAATTTCTTTTTATTGCATTGTTAACTACTAAATTTATGTTTCACTAATATTCGTCATCCGTCTAATTGTGTGAATAAAATCATGTGTGATAATCAATATTCATAATTTAACTGTCAAATTAATGAATTCTTGATTAATAATATTCAAAATAAAAATATTTTTAATTTCCACCGCATCTCTTTCTCACCTTTTCGACCTTAGCGATTTGGCTTTCCTTCATCTTCGTCGTCCCCAGACCCCAATGCCCTGGCCCACTCACCATTTATTCTCTTTTCTATTCCAAATTAAATTTTTAATTTCAGTCAACCAATTAATGAAAACCTAATGCTCCATTCACTTGTAATTCTATTTTATGTTGCCATAGTAGAAATCAAGAAACAATGACAGAAAAAATTTCTTCATTTGTCATTTTGTATTCATTTATAAACCATTTTACAACTAAAGGAGGCAACTGTGTTGAAACAACAAAATTCAGTTTCCTAAAAAATGGACACAAAATTCTTGCATTTTCCAGCGAAAAACAAATATTGTAGTTAAATGGGGTTGGGGTTTCGAATCCCCCAACTTCCAATTTTCTTTTAGCTACAATGATTCCTTGCCAAATATGACTGAGCCCTCCCCAAAGTCTCAAACCCTACTTCAAGCTCATCATTCCATCTCCTTTGCCAACATTCTCAACAACCACTTCCCCTCAGTAATTAACTAGCACAGGGTTCGGCCCGTTGGCCGGGAAAAATTTGTCGAGTAATATGGTATACAATAATGGATATAATACATAATTTAAAATGCACGAAATGATTGTTTTATACTTTAGTTATGCATATAACATCTTTGAAAGTGATCCAACTATGCATAAAGTGTTTAGACCTACTGAAAAGAGGGGGAATATGATATAAGCATTACATATAATTACTTAATGAAAAAAGA